TTTGATCATTTGTTGTCTAACCTAAAACTAAGCATTAGGAACCCATTAAGCATAGAAGAACAATTTAAACAACCAAGCATGCACTACAACACATAAACCCTTCTATGACGTCTGATTTGCGTCATAGAAGGCATTTAATGACGCGGATCAGGCGTCGTTACCCACGTCGTCTAAAGGGGGGGTCATGGAAACTTTTTCAAAACACGACGTCTGTTCTGCGTCATGGAATAGGGTTTCAATGACGCGGATAACGCGTCATGGGAACTTTTTTAAAACACGACGTTTGTTCTACGTCATGGAATAGGGTTTCAATGACGCGCTATCCGCGTCATGGAAACGTTTTTAAAACACGACGTCTGTGCCGCGTCATGGAATAGGGTATCAATGACGCGGATAACGCGTCATGGAAACTTTTTTAAAACACGACGTTTGTTTTGCGTCATGGAATAGGGTTTTAATGACGCAGATAGCGCGTCATGGAAACTGTTTTAAAACACGACGTCTGTGCCGCGTCATGGAATGTGGTTTCAATGACACAGTTTAGACGTCGTTGAAATTCTTTAAATTTTTTTAAAATAAAAATTCTTTATATATATATTCCATCATTTTAATTATGCAAAAAGAAATTAATATATAAAAGAAAAAATAAAGACACAAAGGCAAAGTACTTTAAATTATATTTCTATTACTCAAAATGATTCTAGTACATCATGAGAAGTTTAATGAAAATAAATTATCTTTAGTACATTTAAATTAACTAAGAAGTACATAACTTCATTCGTCTCTCTTCTCGTCAACGAGGAATTCTCAATCTTCTCTTTATCTCAACACCCTTTAGGACAATGGCCTAGAATTAGTCCCCTGTAATAGTGAAAATATGATATATAAAAAACTAGCATACAAATAAGAAACAGATCATGGAACAACAAATTATGCCTGCAAACTACTTCTACGAAAAAAAACATAGAGCAAGAATTTTCAAAATCATGTTTGTTGCAGCAGCTCCATTGACCACATAATCAAGGGGATGAGCCTAAATTGTAGGGGATGTGATGTATGAAACCTTCCCGTTTCAATTTTCTGATTGTAAGAAATTGTAGGGGATGTTAAAATGTTGGAAGTCACTCTTCTTTCACATATGTTCAAACAGCTAAGTGAAAGGACAAAAAGCTAGTTCTACACCAATTCACTCAATGTCCAGGGCCAATTAAAACCCTTTTTTCTGCAAATTACATATTTGCATTACATTCAGGTTAAGGGGAGGATCCATAAAGTATTCAAGATTACAGTCTTCATTTTACAAAATGACGACTTGTTCGTTCAAATTTGAACATGACAGGAATCAGCCATCAATTCAACAGTTACATCCTCAGAAACACAAGCAAAGACACAAGGTGACCCTTGAAAGGCAACCTCACAATCAAATCATAATTGTGCTTCTCTTGAGTCTTGACCACAAAAACCATGTGAAAATCTAAATTTAAGATGTTGTCGGTTTGATCGAATTCCCTACTCTCAGAAACATACTATGCCAGATCAAAACAAACTTCAAAAAGCCTGTTACCAATTCCATTTCTCAACTCACCTTGTTCAGTGTTACTCAGAATGTTATTATTCCTCATCTGGTATTTTCATTCTCATTTTTTTTAAATAGTTTAGAACTGAAAAATAAAAAGAGGTTCCATAAATGATCATGACCAACACTACAAGCAGACTAAAAAACATCATCCATATGAAATGTAACTGTTAAACACCATCCACAAACCATCCCCTAAATTCTGAAGATATCAACATCCAAAAGGAAACCCAAAAACTAACTCACATAGTTTTTTTAATAATAATGAATCTCACATATTATCCAAAGACAAATGCATCGATAAAATAAATATTCCATAGTTCGAAAGAAATTCTGTTATTACCTGAACTAGGTCCTCAAACACCGGCAGGCCAAAGAACTTTGCCAATTCCATTCTTCCATATTTCACAGCCTCCTCAAGTGCTCCGACCTACATGAAAATTTTAAGTATCTCAGGCCATCTGTAATATCTATTAACTTTGTCATTAACATCACCAAAGTTAGCAATCATATGCTCTATAAATAAACAAAGACATGCATATAATAAGCCAGACCTAAAAGATGTCAAGGGGATAAAGTAGGCAGCAGCTTGTTATTCGTGAACACTAAATCTAATGTGCCAGTTTTTTTCTTTTGGTCAAAATCTAATGTGCCAGTTTGATAACACTTGAAAGTTGTATATCTAACTATTTGAAATGAAATTAAGCACACTTCAACCCACGTTCATAACAAGTTACTGCCTGTGCATTCAGACAGTCTCAAAACAATATGCATCATTAGCCAACTAAAATATCTGAAATTTTCCACCATCATTATACCCCATCATTTATATAGTTCTACCAAGCAAGAAGGCTTAGGATGGGAATTGAAGTGTCAACTAAAATGTCTCTGCATCAGACATGTTTTACACCAGTTCATGAAAAAGGCTTTCATAAAATACAATTGAGTTTCATATGTAAACAATAAAGGTAAGCTAAGCTGCACCCATTATAGCAAAAGTTGATGGTTTTGGGCTTGGAACCACATGCCTTGACATGAGCTTCAGAGGAAGAATCTCCTGCTCAGAAAAACCAACATTTTCTTGAGCCATCTCCTCTGCATCTTCAGACTTCCAACTTCCAAGGGGTATGAAGCTAGGACAATCCGGAACAGGGGAAGCCACTGCAGAAGACACTTGCTTAATTGGTTTAACCTCTCCAACCCCATTATCCAGTTTAAGCTACTGATAATACCCAAATAATAACCATGAGGAGAAATTTTCACAAAATCGTAATTACTCTCTGAAAATAAAACAAAAATAAAAATTCTAAATACTAACGCACAACTAGAACCCAAATTCAATCAAATAAAATCAGAAATGCAAGTAGGATCCGGGATTCAATAAAATAAAATCACATACATATAGAATCCAAATAAAAACAAACATTCACATAGAATCCACAATTAAAGCAAGCTACATACATCTAGAATTCAAATCAATCCTAAACTGATACCAAAACTTTGTATCAAGCATGGAGGTTAGAGCTTTACAAAATCGCACCTTGGGAACTGTCACGCAGCCTTCACCTTCAAAGCAATTGGCCTCGAGTAATTGCATTACATTCAGGAGAAGACAATTGAGGCTACTTTTAAGATTGCAAATATTCAGCAAACCCCAACATTAGTATAGTCAGCAGAGAATGTAATGATAAAATAACTGGGGGAATCCAGTAGTATATATCCAAGATTATGTAAAGAAGACTTGCAAACTTCCTAGCATGCTCATTATCCAAATAAAGATCAAACTTGTGAATTGGGGTCAACATGACAACAAATTTTGGAATTCATTTAGCATAACGCGAGAACAAAAGGCGTTGTATGCAGATTATGTCCATACCCAAATAGATATTAGTTTCAGAACAAAAAAAAAAACTGAAATGCAAAATAACTATATTCTTTTTTCTCTTTCTTCCCCAATTATTTTTTGCAGAAACAATCCATCAAAACCAAAACCAAAATTAATAAGGAAATAGAAACCCATGCGTTATTGCAGAGTAGGATTCAACCTCAAAACAGGAAATGTAGAATATGGAAGAAAAACCATTAAATACATTACATTACTAGCTAAGAGTACAAACTCAGAAGCCTATAACTTTATTTCACGTTTCTCAAACCCAGTTTCAAAATACAATGTAAACACAAAAAAGCAAATTGGAAAGGAAAAAATAGGAAGGGGGTTGCACTCACAGCATATTGGCATGCTGAATATCAGCCTCAAGAACCTTAAGAGAATCATTGTAAGGACTAGCAGCAAGCTGCTCGTAATAATCCAACATTTCACACTCCTTTTTAGTATCAAAGGAAAAAAAAAATGAAACAAAGAGAGAGGCAGATTGTGAGAGAGAAGCCATAGATTGTGAGAGAGGGAGACAGAAAAAGAAAAGAAAGGCAAGGGAGAGATGAGAGAGAATGAAGAGAAGATTTGGAGTTGGGGACAGAGAGAGAGAGAGAGTTAGAGATTGGAGATAGAATATGAGGAATCTGTAAGGGAGAGAGAATTTGACCCAAAAAAAAAAGACGCACCAAACTTAAATTTGGTGAAAAAAGGGCGGCACACGAAAATTTTTGGGGGAAAAAATTATAAATCCATGACGCATATGCTACGTCGTCAAAGTGCTAAAGATTTTATGACGCAGAAGACGCGTCATGTTAAGGTTATTGAAAATATTTTTATCCGTGAAAAAATAGCAAACGTAATTAAAAGAGGTGGAAGAAGTGGCGCAAAGACAAAAAAAAAAGAGCGACAGGCTTAAAATTTTGTGGGGAAAGAAATTACAGATCTATGACACGCATAAGACGTCGTTAATAAATATATCTATGATGTAGAATATGCGTCGTTGAAATCTAAATTTATGACGCGTAACACGCGTCATGAAAATCAACGACGCACAATCAGCATCGTGTTAAAATGTTTCCATGACGTCTCCCAAACGTCGTTGATTTTTGGGGGAAAATTATAAATCTATGACGCAGGTCCTGCGTCGTCGTATACGGTAAATCTATGACGCAGGTCTTGCGTCGTCGTATAAGTACTTCATGACGTGTAGAAGACGCCGTTAAATTCACAGTATTAATGACGTATGATTAGCGTCGTCTAAACATACTCAAATCAATGACACACATTCCGCGTCATTGAAAATGATTTTAATGACGCATCAAGCAAATGTCGTGATAATGGTGTCATAAACTCATTTCAACGACGCATTTTAAAAACACATCGTAGTTTATCACATTTAATGACATGTATTTTGGATGCGTCATTAAATCTGCGTCATTAAAAGACACTTTTTTTGTAGTGATGTATCTAATCCCTGTTGTCGAATGTCCATACATACTCTTCCTATTCATAGTTCAATTCGAATTAAAGCATGGTGTCTA